TATTAATAATGCCAACTGTTTAGATCTGCATAACTCGATTCCTTCTAAGAATTTAAACCTTTCACACGTATTGTCTAATTCTTTCTCAGAAACCTTATTAGAAAAACGTTCCCAGGTTGCTATGGAAAAGTTCTTTAAAACATTTAAACATATCTCAGCCTAATCTATATTCTTTCCCCCCTACCCCAGGCTAGCACATTTCCATTCTGATTATCTGTCTTTGAAATAGCAATTTTCAAACCAGAAACCTAAAAGCAACTGTAAACCTCCAATCTCTCACCAAACTCTTGCTTCCTTTCCATACCTCGGCTACAAGGTATGTAGAGGCAGCTCCTCTCCTGAAGGTTTCAAAAGTAGCTCAGGACCCATCTCCCACAGCCATCCTCCCTTTGGTATTCATTTTGCTCCTGGTAAAATTAAGAAGTGAAAACAATAGTTACAATGCATTGAGTGCCTACTCTGCCCTGGGCACTGTGCTAATTGCTTTATATACATTGTCTTATCTAATCCTTGTAGCAGAGACTTCTATCTGTCCCCTAGTATCATAGTCTACCACTTACAGTGTATATTACATACTAGAGACCCAGTGCACAAATTCGTGCACCAGTGGGATCCCTCGGCCTGGCCTGCGGGATCGGGCCAAAACCAGCTCTCCAACATCCCCAAGGAGTCCCAGATTGCGAGAGGGTGCAGGCCAGGCCAAGGGACCCCACCGGTGCATGATCGGGGCTGGGGAGGAACACCAGAGGTTGGCCAGCCAGGGAGGAACCGCGGGAGGGCTCCAGGGCATGTCCAGCCCATCTTGCTCAGTCCTGATGGGCCAGACCCCAGCAGTAAGCTAACCTACTGGTCAGAGCGCCTGCCCCCTAGTGGTCAGTGCACGTCACAGCAAGCAGTTGCGTGGCATTAGCATATTACACTTTGATTAGTTGAACGGATGATCGGATGACCGGACACTTAACATATTAGGCTTTTATTATATAGGACTAGGGGTCCCTCGGCCTGGCCTGCGGGGATAGGGTCGAATCCGTGCACCAGGCCTCTGATATCCCCCAAGGGGTCCCGGATTGCGAGAGGGCACAGGCCAAGGGACCCCACTGGTGCATAAATCCATGCATCGGGCCTCTAGTATTTTAATTAGAAGTAAATAAATAAACAAAGTGGGTTTACATATAGCACTGAGCCAATTATTCAAAATAGTGAGGTTTCTTTGCCTTGTTGAAATATATTTACATATATATGATAACTATGTATACATACAGTTATCCTAAAATGAGCTAATGTATTCATTTTTTATTTTTCATCAAAATTTTCTTTAACTAAAAAGCGATCACATCATTTTTATATTTCTTAAGCTAGTTAACTAGCCATTCAGAGTTTTTTAAAAAATAGTAAAACAACCACTTTGTCTCTTTGCCCAAAGCTTGACTCCGGGAGCTAAATTTTTAGTTGAAATTGAAGCCTGTATTCTTTTCCCAAGCATTCAACATTTATTACCTGGGAGACTTCTTTGTCAGCAGAGCACATATTAAACCAGTTAGTAGAAGTATGTTTAGATTGTATATGTTAATTTACATTCACAAACTTGCTTCTCTGGTGCCTACTGGGACGCTAGCTAAATGTGCAGCCTGGTTGTATTTAACCAAACTCATATAAACAGAAAAGCCAAATCCCCACACAGGGCATAAAAACATGAATTACATGATCCAGCAAGGGTTCCTGAGGGAAATGGCAGCTTCCAAGAAGAAAAGAAATTATTCAGTGTAAGTCACAGTATTTGATGATTCATGTATTTTCCACTATGTGTGAGAGATAAAGAAGCACCCTTAGAAAGAGCACTGTAAGCAAAAAAAAAAAAAAAAGGTAAATATAATAGTCTTATCTTCTTCTCTTGAGTCTTCTAAATTATGTTTAATGATTAAAGGCAAAATTATACTATCTGATGTGGTTGTAAATGTATGCAGAGAAAATATTTAAGACATTTCTATTATGAAAAGGAAAAAGAAAAGGGATATAAAGAGAGGTAAAATTTGTACACTTTAGGAAAAACTGGCAAATGATGAGACCAAAAGTCAGTGATAAGGAGAGAGAGAGAGAGAGAGAGAGAGAGAGAGAGAGAGAGAGAGAGAGAGAGAGAGAGAGAGAGAGAGAGAGAGAGAGAGAGAGAGAGAGAGAGAGAGAGAGAGAGAGAGAGAGAGAGAGAGAGAGAGAGAGAGAGAATGTGAAACACTATAGGTAAGTCAAAATAAAATTCTACAAAATGTTCAAGTAAACCACAGAATGACAGGAAAAGAAAACAGAGAACTTCAAAAAATAATAAAACAGAGAGGACAAACATAAAGCAAAAGATAAAATACAAATTTAAACTTTAACATTGTTATGCCCAGATTTCAGGATCCCCAAAAGACCACCAGGGAGCCAGCCGTGTCCGAAGCAAAAGCAAAGAGTCTTTTATTCAAACCCGGGTCTGGCTCCCCTACCCTCCTTACTGACACAGCAGCAGGTGGCAGAGAGAGACCTAGCCTGGTGTGCAGAGGAGTTTTATAGGGGGGTGGAGTAAGGGGAGGAGAGGGGACTGTGGGCCCTGCCAATTGGCCAGGCGCAAGTAGGTGTCTCGTTACACAGGATGTGGTCATATCAATGGCGTGCACTTCCCTTGATTGTCATTGGTTAGTTTAGAGAAATCCTGGGCGTGGCCAGCAGAGGCTTGGGCTTCCGGGAAGAAGCCTTGCTGAGCACATGGCTCTGCCCCAACATGGAGGATACGGGGCAAGGTGGAGGGCGCAGCCCTCGCCCTTTCAAACATAACAATATTACATTAAATGTAAATAATATGGTTGAAAGTTAAAAGACAGAAAGAGATATGTCATGCAAACATTAGTCAAACGAAAGCAGGAATAGCTGCATCAATATCAGATAAAGTTGACTTCAGAGCAAAAAGAATTATCAGAGCCAGAGAGAGACATTATACAATGTTAAGAAGATCAACTAACCAACAAAACATAGCAATCCTAAATGTGAATGTACCAAACGACACAACTGTGAAATATATAAAGCAAAAATTCATAAAATTGAAAGGAGAAATAGACAAACCCACAAGTATAGCTGTAGACTTTAACACCCTTCGAGTAACAATTTATAGAACAACCAGACAGAAAATCATCATGGATAAAGTACTCAATACCATCAATCAGCAGAATCTAATCAGCCTTTGTAGAACACTCTACCCAACAAAAGCAGAATACACATTCTTTCCAAGTGTCCACAGAACATATACCAAGATAGACTATATTATTAACCATAAAACAAACCTCAACAAATTTAAAAGAATTAAAATCATACAGAGTGTGTTCTGTGACCAAAATAGAATTAAACCAGAAATTAATAACAAAGATAACAGGAAAATATCCATACACTTGGGAATTAAACAAGACACTTCTAAATAACCCATGGTTCAAAGAGGAAGTCTCACTTATGCCCCCAACCTCTGCACATTGTCACCAAGCACTCTCTGTTCACTGTTACGCCAGCTTTGAGAACCGAGCTCATATTGCATGGCCTGCTAGACCAGCTTTAGGAAGGACCTCAGGATGTCATGATTTCAGAAACCATGAGAAAAGTCAATCCCTGTCCCACCACAAAAATAGTATTTTTCCTTGGGTAATTCTCAAAATTCCTTTATGTGGGGGGTCAAAACTACTATTTCTCAGATAGAGGCAAGTCAAAATACAAATGCCTTTGAAATTTATAGAAATAAACATGGTAAACCCTAAGTTCTTTAATTAACCATTGATTAAAATTAACGTACTAGGGATCTAATTGTACAGCTTGGTGACTATGGTTAACAGTACTGTATTATATACTTGAAAGTTACTGAGAGAGTAGATCTTATGTTCTCACCAAACATACACAAAAAAATAGGAATTATGGCCCTAGCTGGTTTGGCTCAGTGGATAGAGCATCAGTCCACAGACTGAAGGGTCCCGGGTTCCATTCCAGTCAGCCCAGGCTCTGGTCAGAGCACGTGCAGGAGACAACCAATCGGTGTGTTTCTCTCACATCAATGTTTCTCCCTGTCTTGCTTTCTCTCTTCCACTCTATCTAAAAATCAATGGAAAAAAATATCCTCGGGTGAAGATTTAAAAAAAAAATTTAATGTAATTATGTGAGGTGATGGAAGCGTTTACTAATTTTATAATTTCACAATATACACATATATCAAAACACCATGCACACACCTTAAACTTACACAATGTTATATGTCAATAATATCTTAATAAATCTGGGTGGAAATAAAATCTTTAAAAAAAATGGAACCCACAAGTTTTTTTTGATAGAAGAGCTTTGAGAGATTGAGAAGCTTTGAACTAGTGCCATGAGACCTTGAGAATACTCTGCACAGAACTAACGATTACACCTTGTTATATAAATAAAAGAAGAACTGGAAAATATTTACCAGTCAGTTAACTTGAGGCCACTAAAAATACAAACATAAGATAGGCTGAAGGGTTAGAATAATTCTTTGTCACACTTATACTTTTTCTGTATTTTGTCATCATAAAATTCAGTAGTTCATGCACAGAGGTCTCATGGGGTTTTACTCTAACCATAATGATTAATGATTACACAACCTCTAACCCTGAGACTATAAAATATTTACTTAAATGTCCATTGTAGAAAATTGCATTTACCAATCATTGTTTACTGGTTATAGGAAATTGCATTTTGTAATATTTAACTCCCAATAATTTCACTGAGCTTGTTATAAATAAGTCAACCAGTATAAAAACTATTCAGATCCTCTTGGGTTTAGTTAAAGTCACCTGTATTTTCCCTGGTACCAATCATTATATGAGAAAATATAAACAGTAAGTATGACAGAGACATTTCATTTTATTCTTTTATTTTATTTTAGACCTTTGAAATTGTCTTTATTTCTGATCATTCCTTACAACCATCCACCCAAGGATTAACTCCCACACATGCACCTCGAGCCCAAATACCCCGCCGCCCCCTCTTCCAAGCACATCAGATTCATATTTCTGATTCTAAGACACTTGCCCCCTGAGGTCCCATGAACTCCCCAACATTTGCCCCTGTAATCGTGGACCTGGGCTTGGTCCCTTCCTTTCCCCATTCACAGGAGCATGAATCTGGAACGTGGGTGCCCCCTGCATAATGCACCTGGTTCTATATTATAGCCTCCAAGGGACCAGAACAAAGCTTCTGCTGAGTGTTCCCACTGAGCAGGGTCATTACAGGGGCACAGCACGGCTACACGTCATGAAAACTCCACCTCATAAACTTTACTTTTGCCACATTTGCCAAGACAGATGGTCCTGGGCTGTCCTAACTCCCTCAGTACCCCCGTGAGCTCAGCCCGGATCAGCGCAAGTCTCTCCTTGTTGACAGTCCCCTGGATCCTGTAACACTCCAGGGGGACGGGGTACAGCTCGAGCTCTAAGCTGCGCAGCCCGGCTGTGTGGCGCAGCAGCTTCTCCACGGTGGCCACGGAAAAGTTGTTCTCAGAGATGGTGAAGACCCTGAGCTGGTGACAGCGGCTCAGGACAGGCAGGATGGCCTCGACGTGGGAATCCGCCATCCCACAGTGATCCAGGCCCAAGTCCTCGAGGGTGGGTGCCACTGCCTCCAGCAGAGCTAGGAGGGGCTCATGAAGGAGGGAGAATCCATGTTGAGGTCCCGGAGGTGCCGCAGGCTGAGCATCTGAGAGAGGAATTGGGAAAAGGATTCCTGCTCTTCCTGCTGTTTCCTGTCCCAATCCTCTTCCTCCTCCCACTCCTGCTCCTCCCACTCCTGCTCCTCCTCCTCTTCCTCCCCTATCTCTTCCTCTTCCTCCTCCTCCTCTGTCAACATGTGAATGTGGGAGAGAGAGAGTCTCTGCAGGTTACTCATCTGACCCAGGTAGAGGGCAAACGTCCCCAGGGTGGGCAGGTCCCAGGTGCACTTTACTTTCACCTCCTGGATGCAGTCCAGCTGCACCCCATCCAGGACCCTCCTGACCCTCTGGAAGGGCACCTCAGAAATCCTCAGCGCCTTGCAGCACAGGTGTAGCAACCCTTCCCTCTGCTGGGCCCATCGGATGATGTACATGAAAAACTTATCCCCGTCCCTTTCATTGAAGTTAAGGTTTAGGAACACCTCCAAGGGAGCCAAGGGGTGCTCCATGTTGGGGCTGGAGCTGTGCACGGCCACTGGTTCCGTCGGTGAGCAATTCTGGGTGCTGTCTCCACACCACATTCTCCAGAAGTTGGCACCCGAGTTCCTTAAATCCAGCACCCGCAGTTTCCACCTCCTGGGCCGAACCTCCTGGGCAATCAGAACATCAAGCCCATCCAACACGGCTTTTAAGACCTTATCCGGGGACAACTGTGACAGGCAGCCCAGAGGGAGGACGGCGAAGGGCCAGGCATGCACCATGGCCTTCAGGGGCTTCCGCTTTCTCCTCTGGTAGGCCTGAATGAAGAGTGGCGTGAAGAGCTCAGCAGGCAGGTACTCCAGAGCTGCAATGGCTGAGGCCTGGTCCCTCAGCAGGCTCCTTCCTGTCAGCCTCAGGAGTGTGGGTGGGGTCCAGATACTCATCTTCAAGGTATTCAGAAAGGAATCCTGCAGAAACTTCTGCTGTGACTCGGTTGGCTGGGGCTCAGATCTCAGACCTGGTGGAGAACCACGGCACTGACTGCACAGCTGGAGGACTCTGAATCTCTTCTCTGGTGCCTGAGGTTTTTATTCACCTCCTCAAATGTTAACATCCAATCAGAACCCTCAGTCTCCATCCCTTAATCTTATTGGGATTACTTCCTCTCTCCAGATTAAAGGATTGAGAGAAAGTTAGGGAGGGGCAGGGTTGAGGCTTGGCTCATGGATTCCTTCCACAGACACTGACTGAGGTTGACTGATGGCCTTCAGTTGTCATCCTCAGTGTGGGACAATGAAGGTGTAATGGTTAACTGATGTTAAATAGGAGAAAACACAACCTGAGAGCGTGGTGGCTGCAGGTCTTCGGCCACATTAGAGTAACCCAAATGTATCCACAGTTAAAACAGCCAACGCCCACAGCTGACACCCTTTGGTGTCATCCCCACAGAAAACAAATGAAATGTGTCCATGCATCAAGTGAGGTTTTATGTCAGATGACATAGCAGATCATGAGCTCCCCAGGGATTAAGGGGTGGGCAATTGAGCATGTGAGTGGCCCTTCATACCCCAAGGTTTGTGTGAGGAAGGTCAGGTAAGAATAACTATGAGAAGCAGGGTCAGGGCTGGGCAGGGTGGGGGGTGGGCCCTCCTAATGGGACCCTATGAATGACGCAGGGCCAAGTAAAAGAGGGGTGTTTTTTCTTGGAAAGAAGAGAGATGGAAAGACTCTTCTCTGGGTGAATTTAGGAAAAAAGAAGGAAAGCTGGAGTAGAGACAGTGCCATCCTAGAGGGCAAAGGGAGAGATTCCATCTTCTATCCCTCCCAGGAGGAAAGGGTGGGTCTCCTCTGGAAAAGATGGGATTAGCACAGCCAGTGGGTGGAGAAGATTAAATCTAAGAATGTGATTAGAGCAGGGGTAGGCAAACTTTTTGACTTGAGGCCTTGGAGTCAAACATTTTCAATCCTGAAGGGCACTGAAGGCAGATGCATGAGCTCTTTGGGATCTTGAAGCCAGAGAGAGAAATAAACATGGACCAATCACAAGTAACCCGTCACATCATGGAAGCTGGCACCAGAAAACGTTTATCTGAGAGTCAGGATTCTTCCACAGAGAACCCTTCCCAGACAGCAAGTGCCTTCCCTCCATGGCCCCATTCCTGCCCTCATGGCACCCCTTCACTTCACTATACCCAAAATCATCTCCCTTATGACCACCAGCCCCCAAAGTCTCCACTTCAGTAAGCCTGTCCCCCAATATCACTCAGTCCTATATTTGTCTGACATCCGTGTGGTCTGCTGGACCACACGCTTTTTAAAAATTTTTTAAAATTCTTTATTAGTTAAGGTATTACAAATATGTCCTCATCCCCCCCATTAACCCCCAACCCCCCTCACCCCCCGACTCATGCTCTCATCCCCCTGTTGTCCATGTCCATTGGTGTGGCTTATATGTGTGCATACAAGTCCTTCGGTTGATCTCTTCCCCTTATTCCCTCCCTCCCCTACTTTCCTTCTGGGGATTGATAGTCTGATCACTGTTTCTCTGTCTTTGGATCTGTCTCTGTTCATCAGTCTATGTTGTTCTCTATAATTCACAAATGAGTGAGATCATGTGATATTTATCTTTCTCTGACTGGCTTATTTCACTTAACATAATGCTCTCCAGTTCCATCCCTGCTGTTGCAAATGGTAGGAGTTCATTCCTTTTTAGAGCAGCATAGTATTCCATCGTGTAGATGTACCACATTTTTCTAATCCACTCATCTCCTGATGGGCACTTACGCTGTTTCCAGATCTTAGCTATGGTGAATTGTGCTGCTATGAACATAGGGGTGCATATGTCCTTTCTGATTGGTGTTTCTGTTTTCTTGGGATATATTCCTAGAAGTGGGATCACTGAGTCAAATGGGAGTTCCATTTTTAGTTTTTTGAGGAAGCTCCATCCTGTTCTCCACAGTGGCTGCACCAGTCTGCATTCCCACCAGCAGTGCAGAAGGGTTCCTTTTTCTCCACATCCTCGCCAGCACTTGTTGTTTGTTGATTTGTTGATGATAGCCATTCTGAAAGGTGTGAGATGATACCGCATTGTCATTTTGATTTGCATCTCTCGTATAATTAGTGACTGAGCATGTTTTCATATGTCTTTCAGCCTTCTGTATGTCCTCTTTCGAAAAGTGTTTATCTAGGTCCGTTGCCCATTTTTTTATTGGATTGTTTATCTTCCTATTGTTAAGTTTCATGAGTTCCCTGTAAATGTTGGAGATTAAACCCTTATCGGTGATACCATTGGCAAATATGTTCTCCCATGTAGTGGGTCTTCTTGTTGTTTTGATGATGGTTTCCTTTGCTGTGCAAAAGCTTTTTATTTTGATGTAGTCCCATTTGTTTATTTTCTCTTTAGTTTCCATTGCCCTAGGAGCATTATCAGAGAAGAAATTCCTTCGGCATATGTTTGCAATTTCGCTGCTTGTGGATGCCTCTAGTATTTTTATGGTTTCCCGTCTTACGTTTAAGTCTTTTATCCATTCTGAGTTTATTTTTGTGTATGGGGTGAGTTGGTGGTCTAGTTTCATCTTTTTGCATGTATCTGTCCAATTTTCCCAACACCATTTATTGAAGAGACTATCTTGACTCCATTGTATGCTCTTGCCTCCTTTGTCAAATATTAATTGGGCATAGTGGTTTGGGTCGATTTCTGGGGTCTCTATTCTATTCCATTGATCTATATGTCTGTTCTTGTGCCAGTACCAACCTGTTTTAAGAACAGTGGCTTTGTAATACATTTTGATATCTGGTATTGAGATCCCACCTACTTTGTTCTTCTTTCTCAGGATTGCTGCAGCTATTCGAGGTCTTTTTTTATTCCAGATAAATTTTTGGAACATTCGTTCTAGATCTGTGAAATATGCCGTTGGTAATTTAATGGGGATTGCATTGAATCTATAGATTGCTTTGGATAGTATGGACATTTTGATGATGTTGATTCTTCCAATCCATGAACACGGTATGTTCTTCCATCTGTTTATGTCTTCCTCTATCTCTTTTTTCAGTGTCCTGTAGTTTTTCGCATATAAGTCTTTTACCTCCTTAGTTAAGTTTATTCCTAGGTATCTTAATTTTTTTGGTGCAATGGTAAATGGGATTGTTTTAGTCTCACTTTCTGTAAGTTCACTATTGGTGTAAAGAAATGCCATGGATTTCTTGGCATTAATTTTGTATCCTGCTACATTGCCAAGTTCATTTATTAAGTCTAATAATTTTTTGATGGAGTCTTTAGGGTTCTCTATGTACAGTATCATGTCATATGCAAATAAGGACAGTTTTACTTCTTCTTTTCCAATTTGGATGCCTTTTATTTCTTCTTCTTGTCTGATCGCAACGGCTAGTACTTCCAGTACTATGTTCAACAGGAGTGGTGAGAGGGGGCATCCCTGTCTTGTTTCTGTTTTTAGGGGGTATGGTTTTAGTTTTTGCCCATTGATTATGATGTTGGCTGTGGGAGTGTCATATATGGCTTTTATTATGTTGAGGTATGCTCCCTCTATTCCTATCTTGCTGAGAGTTTTTATCAAGAAAGGGTATTAGATTTTGTCAAATGCTTTTTCTGCATCAATTGATATGACTATGTGGGTTTTTTCTCTCAAATTGTTTATGTGATGTATTATGTTTATTGATTTGCGGATATTGTAGCATCCTTGCATCCCTGGGATAAATCCTACTTGGTCATGGTGTATGATCTTTCTGATGTACTGCTGGATCCGATTTGCTAGGATTTTGTTGAGGATTTTGGCATCTATGTTCATGAGGATATTGGCCTGTAATTCTCTTTCATTGTGTTGTCTTTATCTGGTTTTGGTATTAGGGTGATGCTGGCTTCATAGAATGAGCTGGGAAGTGTTCCTTCCTCTTGAATTTATTGGCATAGTCTGAGGAGGATAGGTTTTAGGTCTTCCTTGAATGTTTGGTAAAACTCCCCTGACAGAGACATTTTAAAACAACGCAAAATAACCCCAACTTTCTCCTCTGCAGCCCTAAAGTATAAGTGGCTGAAACCTGTGCCTTCCTTTGGGTTATAATTGGGGAGAAGAGCTAGAGGGCAGTAGAGCCCAGTGATCTCTCAAGGGAAAGGGTCCCACATGCAGAGTAAGATGGAGATGTGGGGTGATTCAGAAGGGGAAGAAGACTGTTGCTGTAGAGAGACACTATAGGAGAGTGATACTGCATCCAGCCTTTGCTGTTCCATAGACCTGGGTTCAAGTTCTGGCTCTGTCTTCTGCTCATATACCTTATCATCAAACAACGTGCTTAATCTCCCTCAGCCTCAGTTTTCCCAACTATAAAGTAATGATATTAATGGTCAACTCGTGGAGGCGGAAGACTTGAGAGGTCTATAAAGTGTTCCACTCAGTTCTTAGCATGTAATAATGTTGGATAACTGCTAGTTTCTATTTTTGTTGTTGTTGTCAGTGTTGTTTTTATCTTCCCATTTCACCATTTCACTTACATCCAGTCTTGGTGACAAAAAAATGATACTCAATGGGGGCACCCTCTACCTGCCCTCTGCCCTGGGGTAGCCACAGAGTTTCCAGAATGGCCTCACTGATGTAGAGGGTCTGCAGTGAGTTGTCCTGGCTCATCTTTCTCATTGAAATTCTCCACCCAGGGCTCTGACATGACAGACATATCTTCTGGGCATCTTGTCAAGCATGGTCAAAGGCCAGACTAAAACATCCCCTGCCATTATGTTGTGGTACCATGGAGAGAGCACAAGATCTGGAGTCGGACATCTGAATACCATTTGCTCACTGTCTACACTTGGCCAATTAGCTCCTCTCTAGAGTCATCAACTTAAACTGGGTTTACTACCACCCACCTTTAAGATTCATCATGAATGTAAAGTACTCTTCCCAATGTAGATGACAAAACAAATGATACCTATCACTACTGTTACATTTGTGAGAGCTTCTGTTGAATTCTCCCTCGGGTTTCAAGAAATATCGATGATTGGAGAACCGGAATCAAGTTCAAAGATCGTGTCTCCCACCACATCCACTTACACAGAAGCAGACTATTTCAACCCACCTAACTCGCAAAGG